ATCAAAAATTGTTTTTCTACTCTTTTCCTGGAACAGCAACCTGGCATTTAAAGTTAATGCTCCATTCTTCTGGGTTGGTTTGGGGGCTTTTTGCCTTTAGTGTAGATACAGCAGTTTAAGCACTTATGCCAAAGGTGCAAAGATGAGATATTTCTATGTATATAATTTAAATTAATTGTCATGTCCTTGAAACTGCATCATAAGGCCCCACCATGCTTGAGTGGGATTTTGAGAAGCTATCTAGTCTGCTGCCTTTCTCTAAGGCAAGATTAACTGTAGTAACCATGATAGTTTGAACAAATACCTATTGTTCAAGAGTTCCAATTTTCAAGGCTTCAACAATATTTGGATTTTCAGTAAACACTTCACACTGCAGTTGCCACTCAAGAATAAGATGCTTGAGGTATTGCTGTTCTGAAACATCCGTCTGCTGCTCAATAGCATTCAAAAAGGCATGGGGGAAAGGAGCATGAAAAAAGCAGGAGACATGATTTATATCCCTGTATAAATCTATAGTTTATCCATTTGAGTTCTGTTTTCCCTGTGTCAAAAATCTGTAGGAGAACCAGTAAGGAGCTCTTTCCGTTTTGTTAAATACGTGTGGACTTGTCAGCCTAGGAGAGAACAAGTGCTGAAAGCACTCAGGAGATGCACAGGGACTCTTGACTCTGAGGAAGATGAAGCAAGCAGGCATCAGGGAAAGACCCAAAAGTGATTTGTGCCTTGTGCACCCATGTGGAGTGGCAGTGTGCTGCTGCCTACTCTTGCTGACACAAAAACAGTCATGTGAGCTCATGGGAGAAAGAGGCCTTTGCACACCACAATGCTTGTTGCTTCTGGCTTGGGGAGGGTCTGGACCTGAGTCTGGAAGTGCATTGGTGTTGCCTTGCCTTTTCTTGCACTCTGATGTTGAGATATCTGTGTTGACCACCCTCAGACAGGGGACACTGGATGTGCTCAAGCCTTTCTTGGGGTCACTTGTTATGGTTGTTCTTAGGCCCTGTCTGTTCTTATGATTAGAAAGCTGTTCCTGTCCATGTTAATTATTCCATGTAAACATTTTGGCTGGCTGTGTGTTCATGTATGTGGAGAATCAACAGTCTCGTCTGTAAAACCTTTGCCCATATTTGTAGGTGATTATGCCTAATCTTATCAGCTTCTATTTAAGCTCCTGCTGGTTCAGTCTCTGGCCCAATAGAACAGTCCTGGACTTAGTGCCCTGCCCTGAGCAATTTCTAACTACTTTTGTAGTTAACTGGTTTCTGAATTGTGGTCACAGGGCCTTGGTGTAATATTCTGCTGAGTCTCATAGAACATTACACAATGTTAGGACAAAACAATCAATACATAATAATAATGATACAATATTCTCTTTGAGGGACAACTTTTTTTTCCCCTCAGCTCAATTTATTCACATCCATTGACTTTCCATTTTCTTTACCTTTTCTTGTCCTCCTGATGTGCTGGCAATCCCCTCCTGTCTCTGCACTCTCTAGAAATTTAGTCTGTTAATCAGTCTAACATTGTGTCCAGCATGTTTCTGCACTACATCCGTAGCATCTTTTGCATGTGGTGACCTTATCTGGTTGTCACTTTCAGACCTCCTAACAGTTGCTTTGGGAATAGAGCTCTTTCTGGTAGTAGTAAAAATTAATCTAACGAAGTCTCTCTGTGCAGTGCAGTTGAAAGTGACGTGAAATGTTTTCAAACAGACAAAAGGCAAATGTTTGCTGTGATGCCAGATGGGTGTGTGGCACGTGGGCAGTGCTGTGATTGATGCCTTTGCAAAGTGAGGCCATCCTCGCTCTGCCTCCTGTCAGATACTCCAACGTACTCCAGCTGAAGTGCAGGCATATTTGTTGGTTTGGGGATGTGAACTATCAAGGAAGAAATGAAAAGAATCTGCAAAGTAGGTTAAGTGCTGTATCAGGTAGTGCCCAGTAGCATCCAGTGTGGCACTGGTTACTCTAATGCTCTTGTTTGTTTTCACAAACCAGCACCTCACAGTGTCTGAGCGGATGACCGCTGCGAGGAGACCGTAACCTCTTGATTTCAAAGGAGCCATCGTTTCACTGGTGCCTCTGTGGTTAATGTAAGAAAGGTGTCTTGCCATAAACTTTTTCCGAGGTATTCAGCAAGGTTGGGAAGGGGTCGGCCCGGGCAGGAAGCCCTTGTCTGTGCTATAAAGAAAATAGCAAGCAACAAAATGAAAGCATCAAAGGACCAACAGGATGCGGTCCCAGGAGTCCTCTCTGGCATGTTAGTCCTTCTTGAAAGTTAGCATTGAGTGAAGAGTGACCTTAAAACTCACTTCATTCAAACAGACTGGGCTCAAGTTTAAAGTTCAAGGCATTTTGTTTTTTCACCTGTTTCCTACAGTTTTAAGAAACTTCTGAAGAATTAATGTGTAACTATATCTGGTCACAGAGCCAACGCAGAGAATTTTTCTCAAGGGAAAATAATGTTACTGTATGGAGTGAGAGAAATGGATACTTTCTGACTTGAGTTTTATTTTGTTGAAAGGTTTTCTGCCAAGCCCACTGCTACCATGATCACAAACAGCCCTGGAGCCAGCGTAATGCACACACTATTTCTCATTTTATTTTTGAAAGAAGTTGGTAGACTCTGTAATTGGCTGCGTAGTGGTGACAAGGGGTTGTTTTGCTGAAGCTGCTGCTGCCACTTGGGAAGGTTGGTCTTGTTCTGGGCACAACCTTGCAGCAGTTCAGCTTCATCTGTGAGTGCATGTGGACTGAGCCAGTGACTGGGCCCATGGTTGCCCACCCCCCTCTCACCATGCTGGGACTGTCAGGCCTCAAGAGGGAAGACCGGAGTCCTGGCCCAAAACTCCTTTGGCAGAGGAGGGTAGATGTGGGTACAGTGCTGCAGCCCTAGCTGCTGATGCTGAGTGGTGGCTCAGGCTGCTGGCTGGCACCAGTTACAAGCCACTTTTATTTTCACCCAACATCTACCTGCATGATCTTGACATAGTTACTTTATTTTCTGATCTTTGCATCTTGCATTATGAAGCAACTAGTAACTATCCCACAAGCAATTTGGCAGGTCTCATTTCACAGCTAAAAGAAATAGTTTGCAGAGCTGACATAGAAATTTCACTCGTGTTTCCTTATGCCATTAAATTTTAATGATCCTGGCATGAATATTTCATGAAAGTACCTTCTGAATGGGTTTGTTTTGTCCTGGCAGCTAATACTCTATATAGAGTCTGGAGGGGTTTGTTTGGTTTTTGGTGGGTTTTCTTTTCCTCTCAGGTGGTTTAGTGTAGGTAAGAAGTGTCAAACTGGATTAAGTGAGAAAAGGCAACTTCTTGTTGGTGATTCAGCGAGGGATTGCTGTCTATAACTCTTTTCAGCTGCTTAGTGGAAGCCTGTGAAATGACCCTCAAACACAATTCTGCTCTGTGCTCTTCTGCCACAAGGTGGCTAAAAATGTTTTGAATGCTCACGATATGGGAGTGCTTGAAGTGATGCTAATAATCTACAGCCTTTCTGTAGCACAACACACGGCACACAGGAGACCAGATTTATTGTGCAGAAAATTGTGTATGTCTTATTTATATGGTGCAGCGTTCAGAAAATGTTATTCCTAAGTTTATTTCAATCACTCCTCAGCTGGAGGGCTAGGCTTGGCTTTGTTCTTGGGGTTTTTTTGACAGAAGAAGTCATTGTGCCCAGCCCATCCAGCGTGAGGGTCAGGGCTGCTGTGGCCTACAGTGGTGCCACGGGGAGCTCAGTGGCCACGAAGCCACAGCTCTACCAGTGCATCAGCCTCATGGCTCTACACAAACTGTGGCTTAAACCACAGCCTCCCACTCTGAATCCATCCTCTCAAATGCTAAATTGGAAACACTTGTGCAAACCTGGTTTGCGAGTTCTTTTGTTGTTGAATTTCGTGGACCCTGCACTAGATGACGGGTGGGTCTGTTCAGATGGGCAATGTTTCCAAACAGGCAGCTGCTGTGCCATCAGAAACAGGGACTTCGTTTGCACCAGTTCCAGGAATAGTAACACTCTTCCCTGCAAACTTTTGGGAAGCTTATCTCCAGCTGTACAGTAGGGACAGGGCTTTTGTTTAATGGAAATGAAGCATATCTTTTTCTTACAGATGCTCCACTCACTATAGAGCTTCTTATGTGCGTTTTAGGTTTCCCTTTTTATTTTTTAACTTATTAACTCTGACAAGTAACCTCTTGGTTGTGAACAATTTAATTCACGATTCATTTTTCTGATTCAAAGTGAATATGAGTGCCCTAATCCCCTAATGGGAATTAATTGCATGTTTCAGTGCTTAACTCTGATCCTTTCTCAATCCCCACTGGGACAAGTTTCTTCCTGAAGGATCTGTGTTTGTTATTCAAAACACAATCTGAAAGGTAATGATTTTTCTTATAAAAGGGACTTGGACCAACAGAATATTAATGCTCTTTTTATTGTGAGGGAATGAGTTGCATCCAAAAAAAAGCTCGTTTATGTCATGAAGGATAAATTATGCTGAAGTATATCTGATAAAATACAGGGGAGGAAAAAGCAGTGCATTCCTTTTTCACTAAGTGAAAGCGGTTTGCCAGTAAGTAAAGGCACACACTGTTTTTGCTTGGAAAACTGTATTTTGATACAAAATGTTTACTTCAGCAAGAGGAAATTAGTTTGCTACTGAGGATTTTAAATGACACTGCTCTCGGCCAGCAATGCACCCTTTTGGATAACTGACCTGATCAACAGTTTACAAAAATAAGGGCAAATTGCAGAAAGTGGACTAAGTTTCTATTTTCTGTTTTTAAAGACTTTTCAGACTTGAAATACACTGTTTAATGACCCTCTTTTCAAGAGGAGCTGAACATGCCCTTTTAGGAGAGCACTTTTGCACATACCCAACAGCCTTGCGTGTAGGAGGTGCCTGGGAGTGGATGTGGTTCTCCAGAGCATTGGCTCCCCACGAGGCTAACACATCTTTGTCTTTCAGCTGCTTTTGCAGGTACGATGGCGCGTGTCTTCGTCTACGGCACGCTGAAGAGGGGCCAGCCCAACTACAAGCACATGATCAACACAGCCAAGGGGCTAGCGAAATTCCAAGGGAGAGGCCGCACGGTGGAAAAGTACCCACTGGTGATCGCCGGAAAATACAATATTCCTTACATGCTGAACATCCCAGGGACAGGCCACCACGTTGCTGGGGAGATTTACACAGTGGATGACCAGATGCTGCAGTTCCTGGATGAGTTTGAAGGCTGCCCAGACGCGTACCAGCGCACCCTGATGAGGATCGAGGTGGTGGAGTGGGAGGCGAAGGACGGCGCGGACGCGGCGCGAGGAGCTGCCGATGGTGTCCTGGAGTGCTTCGTGTACAGCACGGCCACGTACCCACCCGAGTGGGTCGGGCTCCCCTACTATGACAATTACGACTCCTTGGGCAAACATGGCCTCTCCTACGTCCTACGCGAGAGCCGGGAATAGAAAGCTGAGGTCACACGGCCTGGCTGGAGACATAGCACTAAGCAGGTGTTGGTTGGTAACCTTTCCAGGAAAGCTGTAATACCTTTTCATTAAAACACAGGATGTCTTGTAACCTTCCCAACCCAGGAGCCTTGGCACTAGCATTGAAGTCTTGTAGGCCCAGAGTTAGTTGGAGACTCCTCCCGAGGCAGTTGCCCTGCTAACCTGCTGCCAGTAACTGGGTTTGCATGAGGCATAAAGTATCTCTAGCTTAGCACATCGGGTTTGGGCTCCAATTATTTCCCCAATTTCCCCCTTTGCCTTGGTGCATAATGGAGGTCAGTGAAAGGCAGAGGAACAGACTAATTTTTCTTTTTTTTTTTTTTCCTGAGTTGACAAATTTTCTTGTGTAGTTCTCTGAGGTGGGTGGAATAATGATGATACTATTGCACTAATAGCTGACAAAGTAAAGCACAACTGGTGTTGAATGTTGACTTGTAATGGTGTTTAGTAGGTTAGTGAATGTAAACAGGGAAAGATGAGCACATCGACACTCTGTGCTTCTCCACAAATAGGAAATGGCTAGGGAAAATTTAAAGATTGTTTTTTCTGAACTGGAAAGGTGTATCTTTAAATCATGTTTAGTTTTACAAGGTACTGTAAAGAACTATTAAGTGATGTGGAGAAAAGTGCATTTTAAATTTTATTTTTAATTTAACAGTCTAAGCACTTTAGGTTCCACTTCAGTTCACTGAGTGACTGTAGGATCTGGGGGGGCATGGGGGGGTGAGTGATGTTGGGGGACCAGGAAAAACAAACCTACACTGGAGCTGTTGTGAGCACTTACTGTCAATGTGACTTTTTGCCAAGCACTTTAATGCAGAAACTTGCAACCGTATGCAAACTGAATTTCCTATTGGGGGAAAGATTTTTATATACATTAGAAAAATATCCAAAGGACCTGTATTGTGATTATTGCAACATTTAAATTGGGGGTTTCTGTACAACCTGGGAAAATCGTGGCTTTCTGTTGTTACACTTCTGTGCCTTATATTTCCTTCCTTGTTTGGTACAAATAGATTGTACAGTATACAAAGCTGCCAAAGGGATGGGAGCAGAGAATGTATGCCATGCAGTGAGCCAAAGTACAATTAAATGCAGTAATAATACCTTTAGGAACAATATTGTACTTTTGCCTCACTGCCAGTAGCCCTGTGATGGCCAGAGATGATCCAGGGTAGGGAATCAGCCTAACCTTTAGCAGTAATAGGCATTGCTGCATCTCATTTAGAAAAACAGACAGAAAGCTTTGGTGTTGCCGCAGTAAGCAAATTAAGTAATTTTAAAGTAGAATACTTGTCTCTCTTTACTATACTTGTTTGTTTAGGGCAACCTGCAGAAGCTGAACGGTGATCCTTTGGGAAGAGGCAAGATGGCATGAAGGAGAGTTGCAGGGAAATCTGCAGGGTGTCTGCCTCAGTTTCTCCAACTGCAAAAGCACTAATTTTCCTGGAAGGCAGGTACTACCCAAACACTCTGCTTACTCATCCCGATGGGTTTTGTAAACTAATTCACTAAGCAGATCCCTGTACTACATTATTCTCCCTTGGCCATGTGATTTAGTTAGCAGCATCTCAATAGCATGAGAAAAATGTCTCTTCAGTCAGAATCACTAACTTTTCTGCTTGAACATGTGTCACCAGCTCTGTCACAGACTGTTTTCATCCCTCACCTTCCAGTAAAGGGCCCAGGCACCTCTGGCCAGAGGGTTTCATGCTGGGAAGTAGCCTGACTCTGCACATCATAGGCAAGAAGATAAG